AAATAGTAACGGACAAAATATAAATTCAAGGCATCTCAAAAGTTGGATATACATATTTTTCTTTATTTATACACAGAACTGGATTAGCTTCTTTGTATATCAGAAATTTTCTAAGAGCTGGTTTTGGGTCGCTTCACTGGGGCTTGAAGGGAATTTAGATAAATGGCATCCTTCTTATCCACTCCATCAAACACATAACTAAAAGGTGGCATTTTGATGTATCTCCCAGTTCCAGGAGCCACCTTCAGTTCATTATTTTCCCAAACAACTCTTCCTCCTGCAATAGTCACTTCAATGTTTCCCTGGGAAAAGGAGAGGAAAGAAAAAACTTTGAATCTTGATATTGCATGACAAGGCTTCGATTATATACAAACAAAAACAAGTATCATAGGTGTTGTTAGTTTAATAAAGGATTTCATAAAATGTCAATGCTTGTTAACAAAATAAAACACCAATTCTAATAGAAAACAAGACTCTAAATAGCTGGTTCACGGTTAACTAACTTATATCCTTGTATTGACCAGATTATATTTAAACCAGTACCTTTCCTCTCCTTCCCTCATAAATATTTGTGTCCAATCTGGAATGGTGAGACTTTGCACTGATCTCAAAGCTTGAATTTGGATTGAGGATGATAATATCTGCATCAGATCCCGGGAGAATAGCTCCTTTCCTTGGATATATATTGAAGATTCTAGCACTGAAATGAATGATTGTAGAGATAAAAAACATTAGTGATGCTTTTAGCTTTTGGCATTTGGCATCTTTACAAAACAAACATTTGAAGGCTAATTTTTACTTTGATTAACTGAAAATATACCATTCAGTGCTCGTTAACCGGACATAGTCAGTGACAGATATTTGGCCAGATTCCTGTGAAATATATAAAACCATAAGTTGTAGTTAAAAGGTTATCCTCTCCACCATTTTACTCCAACCTGAACAGCAATAGAGTGCTAAGCTGGTAATTGATATCTTACCACCATGATGTCCCATACCAAATGCATTCTTTCTTCAATGCCTACAGATTTTTGGTTGCAATGTTTGTCAGTAAGAAAACATTTCAAAATCAGCGAGAATGTACTTAAGCCACAAATATCCTGGATCTTAATGCGATTACCATTGACACCATTAGGCATTTTCCGGAAGTCATCAATTCCACGAGCTTTTTGGGTGGAATTAAAGGCACAATGATCTGTTCCTACCAGCTGCAAATTTGTTCAAGGTCAAATAAACAATCATAGTGGAAAGAACAAAATTGAGTTCAATAAATAGATAAAAAATAATGGAAAATGCTAAGACTTAGGACGCATTTCATGGCTGAGACTATTCTAATTACTTCCTAAAACTCAAACCCTTATGTTCAAATGGTTATTGAACCTATGTAAGCATGAATCATAATGTGAAACCTGCAAAATTCCTGTTGAAAGGGCAGCTTGAAGGGCCTTATCATGTCCTCGTTTCCTAATAGGGGGACTCATGACATACCT